AGAAGGCTGACAATGATGCATGTGACAGGGGCTCTAAGTGCCTTTCCAGATTCTAAGAACACAACCAGAGCATCCTTTCAGTATCTATTACAAGGGGGCACTGGGATAAAGCTGTTACTCATATTTGAATGGAAACCAATGTATTTTATTGAAATTCAAATTTATAGGTTATTGAAATTGCATTCTTTTTACCTGCTTCTTGATATTTCATGAGTTTAAAAAATCTCTCTACTGAGGAAAGCCATAAAATAGATGAAAAAAGTTTTTTTTATGCTTGCTCCCAAAAGGAATGCAAGTTACATTTTTTTTTTGGAAAAATTCAGGAAATCATATAGGCTATGTTACTGGGACTGGGATGATCTAACGCAGTGAGGACCGTGAAGGCAAAAGTCAGTATATTTTGTACCATAATCTGATTCATACTCACATACAAAAACAAAAGTTTGAAGAGGGTATTTTCCTTTATTGCATGTTATATCCTCTAATATTTTCTGTTTTATTATATTTTATAACAAAATAACTAGCTGTGACCCATGAAGCTGATGTCATTACCCAGTAGTGGGTCATGCTGTCCAGGTATAAAACGGTGATCAAACAGCACCATATATAAATCATACTTGGTCTGTGTTGTCCTGGTTAGGTTTCTTCCCACATAATGGCCATTTCCAAAAAAGCAATCCCTTTGCATTACCTTAAGCAAAACTACAATGGTAACTTGTGTTTTCCTTCCCTCTGATACAAATCACTGTAGTTATACAAGATATGATATTATTTGATCTCCTTTGGCTGATTTCTAAAATATAACTGTGTACAAGTTTACTTATATTTGTGACATTTTCTCAGAAAGAATCAATAAATAGCCACCTAATGCTTAGGAAAAAAAGAAGAAAGAAAAATGTACTTCCAAACAATTAAATATGGTGCATTATCTAGAGAAAGAAAAAAGTAGTGGAGGACATCATTGGGATAAGTGTCAAATTTCAAATACTGAATGTGAATTACATAGCAGTATTGTATCCAAATTGGATTTCCTAATTATAATTGTGTAGTGGTTATATAAGAGAACGTCCTTATTCTTGGAAAATACATATTGAAGTATTTCAGGATAAAGGTATGTCATGTCTGCAATTTCATCTCAAATGACAAATGGTTTGGAAAAAAATAAAAGATATGAGGCTGTGTGCATGTAGAGAAAGGGAATCGTGTAATGATAAACAAATAGGGAAAAAGTTAACACCTGTTGAATCTGGCTAATGGATGCCAGATTTATACCATTCTTCATCCCATTCACACAATTTTAATATACTTTTGAAATTATATCAAAGTAAAAACCTAGAAAAGGAAATATACTTCTAAATAACCTATGATTTATGGAAGAAATCATAATGTGAATTTAAAAATGTTTTTATTTGAATGATAAAAATGGTGCTTTGGAATGTCGGTAAAAAAGAACATAGAGGAAGATCTTCAGCTTCAAATGCATAGCCTTCGACAACTGTCTCAAGATATTAGCAAAAGGACATTCGCCCTCCCCCAGAAGACACACAATTGAAGGAATACAACAATAAAGAATAGAAATTAATAAAATAGAACACAAATAAACAACAGAGAGGATCAACAACACCAAAAGTTGTTTCTTAGAGAAGTCAAAGAAAATCGACAAACTTCTGGCAAGATTCATCTAGTGAAAAAGAGAAGGCAACGAGAAGCAAGTCAGAAATAATTGGAGATGCTGCAGCCTTAGATATATAGTAATAGCAAATGGCTTTCATGAAGACTTCTACAAAGCATTAAATAAAGTATATCTAAGTTTATCAAACTTTACTGGAGGGAGTTTGGAAAAAAAATAATCCTGAATTTCTTTTATGAGGCTTGCAAAAAATGCATTTCAAAATCTGACAATAGTACCATAATGAAAAATTACAGAACAAACATATTTATGACTGGGTGTTACACATAACGGATAAATTACTGAACACTACATCTGAAACTAATGATGAACTATATGTTGGCTAATTGAATTTAAATAAAAAAATAAAAATAAAACAAACACATTTATGAACATAGATATACACATCCTAAATTAAAATACTAGAGGAATGAATGCAACTATATATAAAAGTACTCTATATAATTAACAACTTGGGTTATCCAAGAAATCAAAGAAAACTTCCTCAATCTGATGAAGGATATCTATGAATTACCTGCTGCACTGATAACTTGAAATCTTTCCCTTTGAGGTTAGGAACTAGATAAATTGTCTACTGTCACTACTTCTATTTAACCTGCTGGAGGAGGTCTTAGCACGGACATGGAGGTAAGGAAAAAAAAGTTGAAGAAAGAAAAATACTGTCGGGGCACCTGGGTGGCTCAGTCGTTAAGCGTCTGCCTTTGGCTCAGGTCATGATCCCAGGGTCCCGGGATCGAGCCCCGCATCGGGCTCTCTGCTCGGCGGAGAGCCTGCTTCTCCCTCTCCCGCTCCCCCTCTTGTGTTCCCTTTCTCACTATGTCTCTCTCTGTCAAATAAATAAAAATCAAAAAAAAAAAAAAAAGAAACATACTGTCATCCGTATGACATGATTATATGACAAATCCAAGAAAATAATAGAGCTAATATTTCTGTAAGCAAAATAAATATCAAATAATTAGTTGTGCTTCTAAATATAAAGAGATGGACACAGAGAGAGCAGGTTCTGCTGACCCTGCCTGATGGTACCCTCCCAGAGGAGTGGTTTTATTTTGCATCCTCTTCCTCCTTGCCTGCAGAGGTATTAGCAGAAGCTGGAGCAGCCTCCTTAGCCCACAAGATGAAAACCAAGTACTGAGAATGACAGAGCACCTACATGGGAAAGATATGGTCTCCTGACACCATGAAGCCACCATTTATCCTCAGTCTATTATGGGAAAGAAATCTCCATTTGTATCTTTCTTAAGCAAGAACTATTTTGTACTTTGCTACAGGAGCAAACCAGGATTCTAATTAATGTAGCTAGGAAAAGTTAAGAGAAGAGAAATTAAAAAATACATTATTGGAGAACTTGGAGGATATCCATGACAATCTGGGCTGAAGGAATGGTCTCTGGCAACTCTATGAGGGATTTAAGACTGAAGTCTCTTTAAGTATAAATATCCTTTAATTAGGGAAAAATGTGAACTTTGAAACTAAAAATGTATTCTATTGCTAGTTACTCTGAATATATCTATGTATATAATGAGACCATGCAAACTGAAATATACTGAAGAATTCTAAATAGCTAAATCTTTAGATGATGTGATTGATATCTATTTTCAGGGAAATGGAAAGATAAGATTTAGCCTCCCATCTAAAGAAGCAGACTGTTCCTTTATTCCTCAAGGGACGCAGGGACATAGGTAGTACCTGGGGGGGTCTCATCAGGACTTCTGAAGCATTTGCTCTCGGACTTTAACAAGTTAGTGTGGAGTGTGCATTATGTGTAGGAACGCATGCACATGTGTGTCAATGTGTAGAAGGGTGTTCAGTTCATTTCCAATTTATGTGGTTAATTTTGTCTCAATAAGTAAGAGTGGAAAATGCAATATATCAAGGCAGAAGAGGCAATGGATTGTTTATGTTTTATTTTCTTTCAGCCTTTCCAGTCTTTCTAGTTGCTCTCCCTCTTCTGCTCACAGTATATAGGCAGCTGCATGTCTGTGCGTGTGTCATAGCTCATCGTTATGGTGAGCCAATAGGGAACGGTGGGAAAACCTTTGCATTGAAAGTTGATTTCGAGTTTTCAAATAGCTACATTCTGTTTTCGATTTCAGGCAAACATTTAATTTGCTTAGATAGATCTCAACTCCTCATTAATAAAATGAAGATGGTATCTGCCATGCCTGTTTCAAACCAGAATACCTTCTGAAGTTAAAAAAACATGAATCTTGACTTTGCCACTATCTAGTCATATCTTCTTAGGCCTATCGACAAAATTTCTGGGCATTGTCATTCCCATCTGGCAAAATTATACTAAATACACACACATGACAGAATTTTTATTAATATTAAATGAATTAATGGAGGTGAAAGCGTATAGAACAAGGCCTCACATTAGTGAACCCTTAAAAAAAGTTGATTTAATTAATTTATCCTCACTTAGATTGTATGGAATATCAAATAAGATAATAATAAGAAGGCATTTTATAATTTAAAGGCAATATACAACTATTATAGAATGGCATATTCTTAAATAAGTACCATCCTTAGAAAGATTACCTCTCCATATATCATTTAGAGAATGGATCTTCTTAGTCCATGGTTGTTAACAATATCAAGAATGGGCTATGCCTTGGACAAGTAGTATCTTACATAAATATGCCTTTTCAAAAGTATGATTGCTATTTTAACGTAACAAAGGTCAGAATGAGTTTAACCTGAATTTTTATTCCAGTGCAAGATTCGTAGAATTCATATTTTCTGAAAAATATTCATGCCATCATATAAAGCTTATTTGTGCTCAAACATGAATCAGAGAGATATTAAATGAGTTTTAATATTCATGATCAGAGATTTTTCAGATGGCTTAAAAACCTATTCAAGCCAAATGAGAAAACAAGTATAGTTACAGAATCATTTCTGACATTCTCTTAGTGAGTTTATGCTATACACCTATGGTAAAATATGCAATGTCATGATTTCTCAGAGCGAGACTTAAGAAGAAAACTATGAATCTCATGAAAGGCTTCTTCTTTTTTTAAGTTATTTAAAAGTTTAATTATTTTAAATAAAATACATTTAAAACACATTAATTATATAAAGCATTTCTATAGTGATTGCTCTAAAAAATGAAAAAGTTTCATAATTTATGTTTTCTAATTTTCAGTAAACTATTTCAACATTAGATTTTCTTAAATAAAAGCATTCCCTTATTTCTGAATTACATAAGATGGAAGAATACATTTTTTAATGTTCACTGTTTATAGTCTTCCTTGGTGTTCTTTCAACAATTAAAATCAATTTTTAAGAATTAAATACCACAACAAGGGAAATCGCTGTCGCCACAGTCGAGGAGCTTCTGCTGCCGCCGCCACCGCCTGCAGCAGCCGGGATCCTCTGTCTCACCGCCTCCGCTTCGCCGCCCGCGCCATGCCGTCTGAGAAGACCTTCAAGCAGCGCCGCACCTTCGAACAAAGAGTAGAAGATGTCCGACTTATCCGAGAGCAGCATCCTACCAAAATCCCAGTGATAATAGAACGGTACAAGGGTGAGAAGCAACTTCCTGTCCTGGACAAAACCAAATTCCTTGTACCTGATCATGTCAACATGAGTGAGCTCATCAAGATCATTAGGAGACGCTTACAGCTCAACGCTAACCAAGCCTTCTCCCTGCTAGTGAATGGTCACAGCATGGTGCGTGTGTCCACACCGATTTCTGAAGTGTATGAAAGTGAGAAGGACGAAGACGGATTCCTGTACATGGTGTACGCTTCTCAGGAGACATTTGGAGTGAAACTGTCTGTGTAAGACTAGAAAAATGCATCTGTCCTTGAATTTTTTTAAACCCTTACCAAGGAGAAAAAAAGGGATATTACCAACTGAAATTGATGAGTTCATCCAATCACAGATCATCAAAACAGTAGTGTTCCTGCCTAGGAGTTTTAGGAAGTTGTTTTGTACTGTAAGCAGAAAAACTGAGCTCCAAATGAGAACATTCAGCTTTGGAAAACTACATGATTTAACCTAGGCTGTTTTGTTTTCAAATTTAGAAGTTTAAAAATAAAATACTTTGCATTCTAAAAAAAAAAAAAAGAAAAAAAAAGAATTAAATACCACAATATTAGAAGATGTGGGATCGTATATCTATGAGAAAATTTAAAACATAAACATTCTTTCTAAACACTTAAAATCTGATATAGTTATGTCAACAAGAATGAAGAAGCCAATTACATTTTGTGGCATAGGAACAAAAGGAGTTCAGAGAAAAAGATCTGTATTTTGTGGTGGAAGCTAATTTAATCTGGGTCTAGAAAAATGGATCACATTTGGATAAGTGTTGTGAGGCAAGACAACTATTTATATTGGGAAAACAATATGAAAACGTGGCCATGATATATATATTTGGTGAAAAAAAAAACCACATTAATTTGATACAACCAAAGGATTCATACTGAGAAATAATGAGAGACAAAGCTAATAGAAAAAAATATGGTCAGGTAATTTTTTGGCATTAAATAATAAGCATGGGTAGATTAATCTGATAGAATAAGCAATATATTGCCACTGAAACATCGAGATAGTACTAGAATGATAGTGTTGTTCTACCAGTTAAAGGGATGTTAATTATAATATATAGAATATGTAGACATATATTCAAAAAGTTTGAAAATCTGTTGCCTTAAAGTCAGGGTACAAAATATATTACATAAAATAATTGTGGTAAAGATGACAAAATAATAATAGTCATCACTTACTAAGTGCTTATAGCATTGTATTAACTTGTTTATTCCTAACAAAAATCCTTTTGACAGATGAGAAAATGGCTCTATACCCCCTACGTTTTTATCTTTACATTCCAGATGTAAGAGATTTACAAGTAATTATCATACTTTCTAAACTAGAAAAGAAATTTTTCTTTCCATAATTTGAGATTATTTGAAAACAATTATTTTCTTACTCATTACTAGAAGGTCCATCTTTATCGTAAAGAGACTTTTAACTGTGTTTATTTACCTAAAAATACCTATTAGGTATGATATGGCAGAGAACCACCCACCTGCCATCAATAAAAAATGTCAATAATTTTGAATAATGGCTTTATTTGCTTTTTTCTTTTTTTTTTGGTAAAACAAAAATGTATAACTCATCTTAAAATTAAATTAAGCCTTTAAATTTTTTACCATAGAAAACAAGGAAAACTGTGTGGTACAAAAGATGTCACCCATTACAACATATTTTAAGATTTTAATACATTTCAAGGTCTTCTTCAGGTAGGTTTAACTACATCAAAAATAACCTGTAACATTATGTGCTTCAATTGGCTTTAATGATTTTGCTATAAGAACTATGAATGATGTGTTAAATGAATGTATATGATATCTTATCCCTGAATTTGTAAAAATATCCTAATCAAAGCAGCAACTACACCAGTGGTTTAGACGGTTTCTTGAGAAAGTATCTTCTATGGTATGTACATATTCCTTTCAATGATTCACAAAAGATTAATTATTATTATGTTTCATTATTGAAATGTTTATACTTTTCAACTGTGTATTTTGTTTGTATAAATATTTCTTCAAATATTCAGCATTTTGTTTTCCACAGATATTTATTGAGCAATGCATGTGGTTCAATGGTAATCATATTTTCCATGTAAATTTCAAAAATATATATATATATTTTTTTTAACCACTGAAGGAAAACAAATTACTTCCTCAATAATATGTGGCTTTTTGTTTTCTATTAAGAAAACAAAAAAGATGTTTCTAAACATTTACCACTAAATATAGTAAAACTTATTAAAGTTTTAAATTTACTGCATGATTTTGAATATTGTTAGAAAAAATTTATAAATGTCTTCAAATTTCAGATGTTACTGTTCATATATCTTGCTTTTGATTATAGCATTATGCTTTTATTATCTAGTATCTCAGCTTATTCTATACCTTACAATCAAGTTCATGGTTACCATATTTCTATATCCACAATTCATGGAGACTTCTTGAAAATGTTAAATTATTATGATTGAATATTTAATTTAAAAAATTTTTCAAGATTTTTATTATAGTGAAATATGTGTAACATACAAATTGCCATTTTAATTATTTTTTAAGCATATAGTTCAGTGACATTAAGGACATTCATATTGTTATGCAACATCACCACTATCCACCTCCAGAATGTTATTTGCCTTTTTCTTTTTTTTTAATTGTGTGTAATTGACATGTAACACTATATTAATTTCAGGTGTACAACATAATGGTTTGAAATTGGTATACACTGCAAAATGATCACCGTAATAAGTCCACCATCCATCACTATACATAGTTATACAATTTTTTCTTGTGATGAAACTTTTACTCTCTTAGCAACTTTCAAATATGCACTATAGTATTATTAAGTATAGTCACCGTGCTGTATATTACATCCCCATGATTTATTTATAACTCGAAGTCTGTACCTTTTAACTTCCTTCATCCATTTTGCCCACCTCCCACCTCACTTTTCCTTTGGCAACCACTAATCTGTTCTCTGTATCTATGAGCTTGATTTTTTTATTTGTTTTGTTTTATTTATTTATTTATTTTGTTTTTTTTTTTTTTTTAGATTCCACATATAAATGAAATCATGGTATTTGTCTTTCTCTGACTTCTTTCATTTAGCACGATGCCCTCAAGTTCTGTTCATGTGACAGCAAGATTCCATTCTTTTTTATGGCTGAATATATATATACATACATACCACATCTTTTTTATCCATTCATCCATCAGTGGACTCTTAGACTGTTTCTATATATTGGCTATTGTAAATAATACTGCAGTGAATATAGAGGTGCATACATCTTTTCAAATTAGTGTTTTCATTTTCTTTGGATAAAGACCCAGATGTGGAATTGCTGGATCATATGGTAGTTCTGTTTTTAATTAAAAACCCCCCAAAACTCCATACTGTTTTCCATGGTGGCTATACCAATTTACATTCCCACCAGCAGTGCACAGGGGTTCCCTTTTCTCCACATCCTCACCTACCCTGGATATTTCTTCTCTTTTTGGTAACTGCTACTGTAACAAGTATAAGGTGATACCTCATTGTGGTTTTGATGTGTGTCTTTCCCTGATGATTAGTAATGTTGAGTATCTTTTCATGGGCCATATTGGCCATTTGTATATCTTCCTTGATTGACATCATGGAAATTTTTCTTAATGCTAAGCCACACACATTTTCACATTTTCACACTTTTGTTAAAATGGTTTTCCAAAATATCTCTGAATAGACTGAGAAGTTATAATGCCTAAGAGAAGACGGTATAATTGATGCATGTATATTGAAAGTGTATCAGTCAGGCCTTAAATGCAATTGATAAAAGTTCCTTAAAACTTTTAAGTTCTAGCAATATACTTAATTTTAAAAAGCATGTAAGAAAGGGAAACTATGAGCTTAACCAAAGAGAAAATTATTATAAAAACGCTGTACTCTTCAAAATGCCTCAAAATGATATTACAAGTTCTAAAATTGGCAAAGAAGTCAAGATGACTAATAATGGTTGTGAATAGCAATGCATCCCTGGGATGATGTGCATTATTGCTAGTGGCAACACTGTTCAGGAATATTGATTTTGAGTGTGAAGAAGCTTTGACTCAGACTTGAATACTGAGTGTAAAAGAAAAAGTGACCTATAATTTTGTGTATAAAGCTGTGCTGTTGAATTGGTAAAGAACATTTTGTATGTGTATGCATACACAGCATAGTATTTGGGAATTTGTTATCTCTCAAAAAACTATCATACCTTTAGTGGTTCATAAAATTAAGTAAATACAGTATTTATACAGTATGTCTACTTTACTTTCCCTCTATTCAAAATGTGAGAAAAAGGAAACACTGGAGTAGAGAATTTTTGTTGAATTTCATATCCCTGTAATTTCAGATTGTTAATATAAATTAAGTAGTAAAGTGTTTTTCAAGTGCCACTCATTCTTTAGGAGCTATTTAAAACTCTGGCCATATCCATTTTCTGTTTTGTGAGCTTTGTGCCTAATGAAGGCAGTCTGTAAATAATAAATGAGAAATCATTACAGAATCATAAATTTGGCAGTAAGTGACTGAGCCTTACTGGATCATACTGAAATAGTAGCATTTTTACACAAAAGGGGAGGAAAAAGAAGGGAAAGAAAATTCTAGAAAATGCATCAGAGGAGAAATCTTTTCTTGTTTTAGCTTTTTTTTTTTTTTTTCCTTAAGAAAAATCCTTGGGGCATTTGGTTGCCTTAGTAAGTGGAGCATGCAACTCTTGATCTCAGGGTTGTAGATTTGAGCCCCATGTTGGGTGTAGAGATTACTTAAAAATAAAATCTTTTAAAAAGAGAGAGAAAAATCCTTTTTTTTACTAGCATATTTTAAATCCTCCTTCACAACTTTAAAATAAATGGATAATTCAGTATCAAGTAAGCAGAGCATCTGCTCTGTATTAAGTGATAGTATCCACTGAGATGGTGCAAAATGAGAAAGGAAAGCCACCGGACGAGAACTTAGGTCTGAAATGAGACTTATAGATATGTTTTATCTAATCATTTGTAAAAATAGCTTACTAGTATAAAAGGAGGAAGAATTTTCCACATGTTTCTTATATTTTGATAACAGGAATTGAGATTCTGGAGTACATAAAGAGAACAGTGGTGTGAAAGCACAATCCATACTATTTATAACTGTTTTTGTATGGAGCACCAGGCTTTACCTCAGAAAAGGGGCCAGGACTTACACAGTCTATGTATGTATATTACATGAGGTACCTAAAGTAGTCAAATCCATAGAGCCAGAAGGTAGAGCAGTGGTTGCCAGAGACGAGGAGCAGGGGGAATGGAGAGTTATTGTTGAATAGGTACAGAGTTGCAGTTTGGGGGGATGAAGAGAGTTCTGGAGATGTATGGTGGTGATGGTTGCACAACAGTGTGAATGTACTTGCTGTCACTGAAGTGTACTTTTACCAATGGTTAAAATGGTAACTTTTATCATATATGTTTTGTGATAATAAAAAAGTTTTTAAAATGGGGTATGTGTGCTTCTGGGGGCATACAAAATCTTTC